ATAAGTCTCTCAATTGTTATAATTTATTAAATTATTCAAGTAACAAAAATAAAGCATAACCTATAAATCTTATTCTCCAATGCCTGTTTGTACTTCTTGTTCATGAACTAATCTCTCTCCTAATGACTTCGTATATGAAGACAAGAGCTATAAGACTTGTGCAAGATGTATGAGTAGAGATAAAAACAAAGTTGCTGCTAAAAAAGATAATTTAGATGAAGAAAATACTATCATTGAAACAATTTCTATTCATGATATTAGCGATTATATTGCTAATGCAATTACTGATTTAGACATTCATTCAAAACTTTCTCTTACGTTTGGTATTCAGCTTGATAAGGTCACACTTAGTGTTGTAGGTACAAATGTTAAAGCAATGGTTACGTTAATAATTGATAAAATTGAAAATGATGATGGATATACTTGGACAGCCACAACTTTATCCAATATTTCAGCCCATTATCATGGTGTTGGAAATGCATATTATGCATGTTTCCAAAGTCATGAACTTGAGCGTGAATATAAAAACTCAAGTCAAAAAAGAATCTTCAGATTTAATTGTGGTGGTAAGATATCAATTAAGGTTGATATTCTAGCAGTAGAGGCTAAAGTATTTTTAAAACATGAAATGATGCACGAACATCCTATTGATGTTGCGATGCCATCTGAAATAAAACAAGAAATTGAAAAAAATTTAAGTTTAAGTCCTGTAGACTTACGAACCTACCTTCGCAATAAAAATTTTGATATATCAAAAATTACATATAAATAAATTCATTATTGGTGGTCTCATTATATACAGCAGTTCTATAAAACTGATAAAAACTATATTATTTCTGCGCGAAAGTTTTTGAACAGCAAAAAAATAATGAAAAAAATTGTACCTTATGTTTTCAACTTGAGACTGATAATACAGCAGCTATCAGTTTTACTACAAAACTACTTTCAGCATTATATTATACAGAAGTACATTGTGATGCTACTTATAAAACTTCCAAGAGCCGATTCAAACTCTATAGTATTGTTGATAATGTGGAAGGTACAGGTTAGTGATTCATGATAAAATATAGTATAGATAATACCTTAAGAATAATTAATTGAATTAAAATAAGTATCATCTATACTATATTTTATCCATTAAAAGATACCTAAATATATGAAATCTTTGCTATGAAAATCACTCTTTGATATTTTTTGATTAGACTAATTCGGACAAACTTAAACTAACATATCGGTTCTTACTTGCAGCAAATTATCATTTTTAATTCAATAGTTTATTGATAAATTATTGAATCAGTCAAGGCAAGAGATAATTTACCAAAAATAAGAACTAGTAGGCTGGTCTAAGTTTGTTCGAATTAACCTAAACAAAAAATACTGAAGAGTAATTTTCATAGCAAAGATCTCATATATTAAATATTTTTCTAATAATATACATATCTTATAATACTTCTATTAAAATATTATTTTAGATTTTCCATTAACATATTTAATTTTGGACACAGCAAAAGCTAATAATTTAAATCAAGAGGGGTTATGTACCGAGGCTCTTATAGGTTTTTTCTATACGCTTTGCAATAAAGACCTAAATTCAACGTACTTTTATACGGACAAAGACTTTGCAGAGATCAATGCTGCAAAAAGAGTATGGCCTACAAGTGATATACAGCTTTGCCTATGGCATATTGAAAAAGCAATTAAAGAAAAGCTTAGAAGTTGTAAAAAAATTGAACACATAAATTATAATTATGGAGAAGTTGCAAAAGAATTTCCCTTTATTGAATCTTCCTTTACACCAAACTTACAATGTAATGATTATATCGTTTGTCCACCTGGCCTTCGTAAAACTGTTGTTAATATGGTTAGAACCCATTTTAACATGTATTCGAAAATTCTAATCGATATTAATAACCAAATTTTGTCATCTACTGAAATAAGAGCCAAAGCAGTTTTAAAAATATATAACTTTTGCTTAACAAATAATCTTACAATACTGTGGACTTACTTGTGGTCATCTTGGTATAAACCTACAAGGTGGTGTCTTTAGGCACGGTCTACCCAACCAACAATACCACTTGGTAAGACCAACATGATGATTGAAGCACATTGGCGTGTTTTAAAACATTGTTATCTTTATCAATTTAATCGCCCACGTCTTGATTATCTTGTATGGATAATTAATTCTCGTGTTGTACCTGATCAAATTAACCAGCTTCAACAATTGTTACTTGGTAGAGTAACACCACCATAGTTCAATGAATTCAAGAAGCAATAGAAAAATCTTTAAACCAAACCTCTTAGCAATATTAAAGATCATTATTTTACTGATTTGAGCCATTGGATTTGTAGCTGTCCATTATTTTTTTCAAAGCTGCTTCCTTATATGTAAA